TATATATATATATATATATATATATATATATATATATATATATATATATATATATATATATATATATATATATATATATATATATATATATATACATATACATATAATGCATGGTTGTTTAAAGGAAATGCATCATAATATATTGGGGGGGGGGAAGCATGTTTAACCCGGTTTAACCCTAATAAACAAAACACAAAATTAAATTAAATTAAATTGAATACATTTAGTGAACCATAATTCATATATAATATTCAAAAGTCTTAAAAACAAAAAAGATCAAAAGTCTTAAAAACAAACAGCTCATTTGCATTAAAGCATATTCACACAACAATGTTTAAAAGTCATTGCAATGCAATAAAAATCAAACATGATACACTGAAAAAAAACTAAAATAAATTATTAAAGTTTATAAGCATATAGCTGTCAACAACATCAAGTGTTTTAAACATTTTTAAAGTACATAAATACACAAGTTGAAACATAAATGGGCTTGAGCTGTTTTTCTTCAGTCATGTCTAAATACAAAGATCATTGTCACTGCTCTCTGATGATTAAATATGAATTACCTGAGAATCACGCAGAGAGAAATAAACTGGAGTAAAGAAATGACACAACATCACTTCAGACAGGAATAAATATGCACGTTTTCTACTTTTAGTCTAGTTATTTTAAACTGTAAATAAATAAATACATAATACACAATAATAAACATATAGAGATAAAGCATTTATTTTAAAAGCACAATATTGTGGAAATATAAAGCATTTTTACCCTAACATAAACTGCTTCATATATTGGTTACAATTGTGTTTATAGAAATAAGACGGTAAACAAAAAGTAGGTTTCATTTAATAATGAATAATTAAGGGATAATGTTATTGTTTATGATTCAGAAAAAAATTAAAATTACAAATAAATTAAACAAAACAAAAAAGTTAAATAAAAAATAAAATAATGTAAAAATAATAATAAAATAAAATAAAAAATAAAAGAAAATTTAAAAAATGTAAAAAAATAAAATACAATAAAAAAATAAAATAAAATAAAAACAAAACAAAAAATAAAATAAAACAATATAATATAAAAAAAAACAAATAAATGAAAAAATAAAAACAATTATAAAGTATAAAGTAATTAATTTTTCTAGTTTCTATCCTCCAAAATCTTGTGCTTATGAGATGGCAAAATGAAACAAGGTAAATGGTAATTATTGAAAGTCTTGTTTTTAAGCTCTTGTTTTTAATAAAGTGCTGTGATATACGTCTTTTTTCAATTCCGTGGCAAAAAACACACTTTTATAATCTAATTATCAGCATGATTAGCTGTTAAAAGCATCATATCAGCATTACGGACAGCTATTAACGAGCAGTGAATTACTGATGATTGTACATTATTCTGTCAGCTGATCAGAGATCTGTCATTCAGATGTTAAAGCTGATCTTGTATAAATGCACATGTATGATGATGTGTGTTTTACAGCAGTTTTCTAACCGCTCCAACATTATCTGCTCATCAACGCGCACACGTGTGTGTGTGTGTGTGTGTGTGCGTGCGTGCGTGCGTGCATGTGTGTTAAAGAGATCCGATCATCAATTCACACTTTCAGGTCAGATTAAACTGCAGATGCAAATTATAGACTCATACTGCCTCCCTGTGGACACATACAGATGCATATACAGGTGAGGTCAGAATTATTCGCCCTCCTGTGGTGTTTTTATATATTTCTTAAATGATGTTGAACAGATTGAGGAATTTCTCACAGTGTTTCCTCTAATATTTCTTCTTCTGGAGAAAGTCTTATTTGTTTTATTTCGGCTAGAATAAAAGCAGTTTTTAATTGTTTTAAAGCCATTTTAAGGTCAATATTATTCGCCCCATTCAGCAATATTAGTGTTGGATTGTCTCCAGAACAAACCACTGTTATACAATGACTTGCCTAATTACCCTAACTTTACCCTAATTACCCTAGTGAAGCCTTTAAATGTCACTTTAAGCTGAATACTAGTGTCTTGAAGAATATCTAGTCTAATATTATTTACTGTCATCATGGCAAAGATAAAATAAATCAGTCATTAAAAATGAGTTAATAAAACTAATATGATTAGATAAAATCTCTCCAATAAAACTAAAATTGGGGGAAAAAAATAAAAAGGGGGGCTAATAATTCTGACCATACACACAAACTTAATTTTGGTATAATTAATTACTCTGGTTTAGTTCATATTAAGCCGCGGTCACACCCTATAGTTTGAGTTTGCGAAATTCTGTCGTACGGCTCTGTGTAAAGGGGCGGGATTAAACAAGATGATTAGACATTAATTTTAAATTTCTGTCCAGAGAGGTCATGTTTTGATCCTCGGTTGGTCTCACGCAGTCTAGTGATGCCATTTCGCAGGTCAGAGTTCACCAAGCTTGAACTTTACACCGCAGCAATTTACGAAACTTGACGCATGACGGCGCGTTTCCAGTCTGATGCATTTGCGTGCGTATGAATGGAAGTCTATGGGGAGACAAGTCCAGAGTGACCGCAGCTTTACTGTGTGGGTTGTGTGGGTTTAGTTTGGGAGACGTTATTAATAAGCAATTAATGCATAATTTAATAAATAATGCGAATAATTCTCGTTAACTTCCGACTGCAGCTGTATCTCTTTTAACAACCATCCGCATCAACTCGAAATAAACAGGTGCTGTTTCCCTTTCCTTCAAATGAAAATCTATATTCCACCATTTCTCTAAGGAAAAAGATAAAGGCTTCAGATAAAGATGAAAATAAAGAACTAAATATTTCTTAAGTTGAGTTTCCCCAAGTCCATTTTAAAACTGTAAATGGAGTAAATCCTTCTCAAGACATTTTGAGATGTCGATTTGGTTTTGTTCCTTTTGTGATGATCAAACTGGATCATCTTTTATTTGATGGTAAATTTGATTGTGCCTTTTGGGATGATTTGCATCATTGATCTTTCTCTAAGTTTGAAGATTTACATGTTTGAATAAAAGAAAATGTACTGTTTGGTTTATTGTTAAGAGATGAAGCATGATTTAGTAACACAATTATTATTGTTGGGAAGATCTTTTACATAAGAACCGATTCTCAAGAATCCCTCCCTTTGTCCAATCAATCAATCAATCAATCAATCAATCAATCAATCAATCAATCAATCAATCAATCAATCAATCAATCAATCAATCAATCAATCAATCAATCAATCAATCAATCAATCAACCAATCAACCAATCAATCAATCAATCAATCAATCAATCTACCAATCAATCAACCAATGTATGTGGTTAATAATTCATATTTTGAAAGAGCTTTGAGAAATAAAGTTTGAGCCAAGAATATATAAATAAATCTGATGTAGTTTACCTGCCATACTAATATACTGATGGTATATGATTATGATAAAATAATAATGACACACCAATTCAAATCTAATTAAAACGTTATGATTAAATTACTAACTATGAAATATAAATAGATTAAATCTATAACTATAATCAATAAAACTGTAACAGTTACTGTAATGAAAATCCAAAATCAAACAAGACGTGCTCAGGGGCAGCTTAAATAATGTGTCAGTGCTCTTTAGATAAGGGATTCATCAGAATAAGCAGCAAAAGTCTGTCCAAGGCACTCGAAAAATGTGGAAAATTATTAAAAAAGCCTTTACTGCCATGTCATTGAAGACTTTTGAATATTTTTTTCCAAAATTTTCGAGTATCTTGGACTGACTTGTGCTCTAATTACTGTAATGACTTTGATAAATGACGGTAGCAGCTTTGATAAAATCACAGCGTTTTTATTTCCACCAGATTTTGCATGAAGACAAAATTTCACATTTCTGTACATACATATACAATTTGTTTATAAGCCTATATACAGTGCTTGCAAATTTATTTGAGTCATTGCAACCCCGTTCTAGGGGCATTTTTATATTACATCTAGATTCTAGATTATGAATAAATCAGATCAAAAGTCAAAAGGAATGGAGTTATATTTGTGCCACAATTCTGTGAGCAAAAGATCATGTTTTGGTCACATCAAATCACTTGTTGCATGTGTGTTAACAACATTGCATGTAAAGGATCATGTGTTTGAGTGTATAAAATGGCTGGTCGAGCACGCATTAAATTTTCTGCATGCAAAAGATCCTGTTTTGAGCATGCAAAATAGCTTGTTGTGTGTGCATTGATGATTTTGTGTGCAAAATATTTAGTTTTAAGCATGCAAAATAACTTGTTCTATGTGCCTTAATAATTTTGCATGCAAAAGGTCATCTTTGAGCATACAAAACTGCTTGTTGCATGTGCATTAATTTTGCATGCAAAAGATCCTGTTTTAAGCATCTAAAATGGCTTGCTGCATGTGTGTTAACAATTTGGCATGCAAAAGATCATGTCTTGAGCATCTAAAATGCCTTGGTGCATGTCAATCAACAATTTTGCATGCAAAAGATCATGTTTTGAGCATGAAAAATGGCTGGTTGTATGTTTGTTAAGAACTCTGCATGCAAGAGATCATGTTTTGAGCGTGCAAAATTTCTGGTTGCACAATTTTGCACAAAAGATCATGTTTTGAGCATTAAAAAAATCGCTTGTTGTGTGTGTGTGTGTCAACAATTTGCACACATATCCTGTTTTAAGCATTGAAAATGGCTTGTTGCATGTGTGTTAACAATTTTGCATGCAAAAGATCATGTTTCGAGCATGCAAAATGCCTTGTTGCATGTCAGTTAATAATTTTCACGCAAAAGATCATATTTTGAGCAAGAAAAATTGCCGATTGTGGGTTTGTTAAAAATTCTGCATGCAAAAGACCAAGCTTTAAGCATCCAAAATGGCTTACTTCATGTGTGTTACCAATTTTGCACGCAAAAAAAATCCTGTCTTGAGCATGCAAAATGCCTTGTTGCAAGTCAATTAACAATTTTGCACACAAAAGATCATTTTTTGAGCATGAAAAATTGCTAGTTGTATGTTTGTTAACAATTCTGCATGCAAGAGATCATGTTTAGAGCGTGCAAAATTGCTGGTTGCATGTGCGCTAACAATTTTACATGCAAAAGATCATGCTTTAAGCATCCAAAATGGCTTGTTGCATGTGTGTTAACAATTTTGCATGCAAAAGATCATGTTTTGAGCATGAAAAATGGCTGGTTGTATGTTTGTTAAGAACTCTGCATGCAAGAGATCATGTTTTGAGCGTGCAAAATTGCTGGTTGCACAATTTTGCACAAAAGATCATGTTTTGAGCATTAAAAAATCGCTTGTTGTGTGTGTGTGTGTGTGTGTGTGTGTGTGTCTTAACAATTTGCACACATATCCTGTTTTAAGCATTGAAAATGGCTTGTTGCATGTGTGTTAACAATTTTGCCTTCAAAAGATCATGTTTTGAGCATGCAAAATGCCTTGTTGCATGTCAGTTAATAATTTTCACGCAAAAGATCATGTTTTGAGCAAGAAAAATTGCCGGTTGTGTGTTTGTTAAAAATTCTGCATGCAAAAGACCAAGCTTTAAGCATCCAAAATGGCTTATTTCATGTGTGTTACCAATTTTGCACGCAAAAAAAAAAAATCCTGTCTTGAGCATGCAAAATGCCTTGTTGCAAGTCAATTAACAATTTTGCACACAAAAGATCATTTTTTGAGCATAAAAAAATTGCTAGTTGTATGTTTGTTAACAATTCTGCATGCAAGAGATCATGTTTAGAGCGTGCAAAATTGCTGGTTGCATGTGCGCTAACAATTTTACATGCAAAAGATCATGCTTTAAGCATCCAAAATGACTTGTTGCATGAGTGTAACAATTTTGCATGCAAAAAAATCCTGTCTTGAGCATGTAAAATGCCTTGTTGCAAGTCAATTAACAATTTTGCACACAAAAGATCATGTTTTGAGCATGTAAAATGACTTGTTGCATGCGCGTTAACAATTCTTTGTTCAAAAGATCATGTTTTGAGCATGCAAAATCGCCGGTTGTGTGTGTGTGAACAACTTGCACACATAAGATCCTGTTTTGACCATCCAAAATGGCTTGTTGCATGTGTGTTAACAATTTTGCATGCAAAAGATCATGTTTTGAGCTTGAAAAATTGCAGGTTGTGTGCATGTTAACAAGTCTGCATGCAAAAAGTCATGTTTTGAGCATGTAAAGTGACATTGCATGTTTGTTAACAATTTTGCACACATAAGATCATGATGACTTTGTGTACTCAAAACATGACCTTTTGTGCATAGAATTATCGCACAAATATAATTCCACACAGGAGACGTTTAGAAGTAGCAGCGTGTGAACAGCATCGGGTGTGTGATGTGCTGCGGCTGCTGCTGGTGGTAGTACCCCACGCTTTGGTGCTGAAGTGACGTCATCGGTGGAAAAACAGCGGGATAGAGGAAGTCTGCGGCACGCATGTCCTGCACCTCACGCTTCAGCTTCATCCGCCGGTTCTGAAACCACGTCTTCACCTATAACAATTAACAATAAAGACACATTTACAGTATGTACACGGAAAACTGCTGATTGTCGAGCCTTCACTTATGTAAACGGGTGTAAATATAAATAAATCCATATATAGCTAGATTTTATTTAAAGTTATAACACATTTTATAAGTGGTCAGAAACTTGTACATAACTCATGAAAGAATAAAGCTACGTTAAAATAAAGCACACCATTATCTTTCCTGTGAAATTCCCAATAAGTTTGATGTGTCACATGACCCTCTTCCTACTGAAAAAACAAAAGTTGAATCCAAGATGGCCGACTTCAAAATGGCCACCATGCTCACCACCGATCTTGAAAAGTTTGCCGCCTCACATACACTAATCTGCCACAAACAGGACATTAATATCACCAACCATTCCCATTTTATTAAGGTGCATCCATATAAAAGGCCCACCCTGTATTCTCAACTTGCATCATCAAGGCTGCATCCAGACACTAGTGCTTCACATCAGTAAGAAAATAAGATGGTTTAAAAAACTATCAGGTCAAAGTGTTGATTGTTTTAACATTAATAACATCAAGATTGATGATTGGTTTAATCTTTTATAAACCCATGGAAGATATTTTCACTTTTGAAATGTTTTGGGGTTGTCGAGGGGTTTTGTGCTGTGTATTTGATGCAAATGTAGTGTTTTCTTTATAATGTCAGTCTAATAGGTTAGTGCTATATAGTATTTGTATTTAGTATAATTATGAAATGAAAAATTTTTCAAAATTCAAATCACACTCACACACCTGAGTTTCTGACAGGTGCAGTTTCTCCGCTATCTTCCTCCTCTGAGTTGCTCCGAGGTAGCGGTGTTTGCTGAAGCTCTTCTCCAGGCCAGAGATCTGATCGCAGGTGAATTTGGTCCTGACGCGTCGATTCTGCCCCGCTTCTACTTCACTGTCATCACTCTCCACATCGGTGTATCCACAGCTGTCTGAGGAAAGCAGCAGGAAACACTCGATCATTATTTAGAGGAAACAGTGGATTATACTATAGTAAAGTGCATCAACTAATCTGCAGTGGTGATTCTACAGTTGCTATGGTAACACGACAACTATAGTAGTTGATCTGTTAGTATGATTCTATAATTGCCATGGTAACTCAACAACTATAGTAATTAATATGGTGTGGTGCTATGGTAACAAGACAACTGTAGTAATTAGTCTGTTGTGTTGATTATACAGTTGCTATGGTAACACGACAACTACAGTAATTAATATGTTGGTGTGATTCTATGGTTTCTATGGTAATACGACATCTACAGTAATTCATCTGTCGTGGTGATTCTATGGTTGCTATAGTAACACGACAACTATAGGAACTAATGTGTTGTGATGATTCTATGGTTAATATGGTAACACGAACACTATACTAATTAATCTGTTGTGGTGATACTACAGTTGCTATGGTAACACAACAACTATAGTAATTAAAATAATGTGGTGATTTTATGGTTGCTATGGTAACATGACAACTGTAGAAATTGATCTGTTGTGTTAATTCTACAGTTGCTATTGTAATACGACAACTATAGTAATTAATCTGTTGCTGTGATTCTACAGTTGCTATGGTAACACAACAACTATAGTAATTAATCAGTTGTGTTGATTCTACAGTTGCTATGGTAACACGACAACTATAGTAGTTGATCTGTTAGTATGATTCTATAATTGCCATGGTAACTCAACAACTATAGTAATTAATATGGTGTGGCGCTATGGTAACAAGAAAACTGTAGTAATTAGTCTATTGTGTTGATTATACAGTTGCTATGGTAACACGACAACTACAGTAATTAATATGTTGGTGTGATTCTATGGTTTCTATGGTAATACGACATCTACAGTAATTCATCTGTCGTGGTGATTCTATGGTTGCTATAGTAACACGACAACTATAGGAACTAATGTGTTGTGATGATTCTATGGTTAATATGGTAACACGAACACTATACAAATTAATCTGTTGTGGTGATACTACAGTTGCTATGGTAACACAACAACTATAGTAATTAAAATAATGTGGTGATTTTATGGTTGCTATGGTAACATGACAACTGTAGAAATTGATCTGTTGTGTTAATTCTACAGTTGCTATTGTAATACGACAACTATAGTAATTAATCTGTTGCTGTGATTCAACAGTTGCTATGGTAACACAACAACTATAGTAATTAATCGGTTGTGTTGATTCTACAGTTGCTATGGTAATATGACAACTATAGTAATTCATCTGTCGTGGTGATTCTATGGTTGCTATGGTAACACAACAACTATAATAATTAATGCGTTGTGTTGATTGTATAGTTACTATGCTAACACAATAACTATATTATTTTTAAACACATGTGTTAACTGTTTTGACTGAATTGATGGTATATTATACAATCCTATATGGAAACATTACTATAATAATTGATAATAAACACTACAGTTTTGAGCTGTTGTTAAATAAACGGACTTTCAAATTAATTTAATTAAAATTACTTTCAATGCAGTTCACATGGTCATTTTTAAAGAAGACATTAATAAATATGGATACATTTTAACAATTTCAACACATTTCTCAAAACAACATATTTTAAACAAATATTATAGTCATTAATAGTAACTTAACCTTATTTTACAACAGCAAAATGTGAAGTATTGTAGTATAAAATATTATATATTTGTAGAAAACTACTATGTCGGGTCACTTGTTCAGATTACTATACTATAGAACCTAATCATAGAATCACCTCAACAGATTAATAACTACAGTTTCTGTTACCATAGCAACTATAGAATCCCCTCAACAGATTAATTACTATAGTTGTTGTGTTACCATAGCAACTATAGAATCATCTGAACAGATTAATTACTATACTTATTGTGTTACCATAGCAACTATAAAATCACCTAAACAGATTAATTAATATAGGTATTGTGTTACAATAGAAACTATGGAATCACCTGAACAGATTAATTACTTTAGTTGTCATGTTACCATAGTAACTATAGAATCACCCCAAAAAATAATGACTGTAGTTGATGTTACCCTAGCAACGATAGAATCACCTCAACAGATTAATTACAATAGTTCTTGTGTTACCATGGTAACTATAAAACACCAACATTCATTCATTTTCTTTTTGGCTTAGTCCCTTTATTAATCTAGGGATGCCACAGCTAAATGAACTGCCAACCTATCCAGTATATGTTTTACAGCTGCAACCGATCACTGGGAAACAACCATACACACTCTTTCACTAGGGACAATTTAGCTAACCCAATTCACCTGAACCACATGTCTTTGGATTTGTAGCGGAAACCTGGGAGCACCTGGAGGAAACCCACACCAACATGTAACATGCAAACTCCACACAGAAATGACAACCCAGCCGAGGCTCGAACCAGCGACCTTCTTGCTGTGAGGCAACAGTGCTACCCACTGCGCCACATACTAACTGCAAAAGTTCTCGCATTTCCATAGCAACTACAGAATCACCACAACAGATTAATTCTACTTTACAAGTACACCCTAAAAAAACCTGAGACGTTTTAACCCAAAATTGGGTTGGTCCATTTTTGAGCTGGTTAAAAACAACACAGCATGCATTCATTCATTCATTCATTCATTCATTCATTCATTCATTCATTCATTCGTTCATTTATATATATATATATATATATATATATATATATATATATATATATATATATATATATATATATATATATATATATATATATTTATATATATATATATATATATATATATATTTTTTTTTTTTTTTTTGGTTCAACATGGTACATGGGTAAAAAATAATGTCGCGTTTACTAGCCTAGTATTAAATAGCATACTAAGATAACCCGGTGTATTGATGTCTACTTACTGGCGGGTGACGCCGGGGCCTTCCCTGCTCCTGCAGCCGCTGTTAGTGGAGCTCCAGGAGCTGCTGTGCTGCATTTCTCCTGATCATGGAAACTCTGGGAGAGCCACTCCACTGAGAACTTGCTGGGTATCATGATGCTTGTTCTGGGCTAAAGAAGAAGAAAAAGCGTGTTTAGAAGTCCTCAAGAGGTCTGTAGACTTTATGGAGGCGCCGCCGAGCTCGTTTGCATGAGTATGGAGACTCTGTGCGCGTTTATAACGGCTGTAATTGAAGTTAATAGACGCTGGATGGGCTTTTTCACACGTTCCGCGGAGCTGCGATATCCAGGCGCCAGCGAGTCTGAGCACCTCGACTATCTGAGAAGAACAGATGAATAATCATCATCAATTGATACAATCAATGGACATCATCCACTCAAGACAAGACCTAATCCATCGGCCGATAATGTGAAGATGAAAGGAGCAGGGAGGATCACTGTTTCACTTACAGTGGGATTAAGTCTTGATCCCCATTGTCGAGCGATCGTCCAATCTAATATGCAAATGCGCTGTTTGTTTATTGCGCTGAAGCGGGGAATATGGTTGAGGAGCATCTGCAGGTACATGTCTGTGCAGAGCTGGCTGCTTTCTGCTCTTTTGTCTCTGGTCTGCTGCTGCTGTTGAGCGGGAGGAAAGAGGAAAGCGTTTGATGTCTTTTGGGGAAACATTTAAATGGGGGGTTTTGGCGCCTCACAAACTCCCGCGAGTCTCGGTCAGGCTCGGGGATGCTGAAATACACAGCTACCTGTATTGTGAAATACCTTATTGCATAAAAATAATTAAATAAATATAAAAACTACCATACATATATACAGATGAAGTCAGAATTATTAGCGCCCGTTTGATTTTTTTTTCTTTTGTAAATATTTTCCAAATTATGCTTAACAGAGCAAGGAAATGTTCACAGTATGTCTGATAATATTTTGTCTTCTGGAGAAAGTCTTATTTTTTTATTTCGGCTAGAATAAAAGCAGTTTAAAAACTTTTAATCACCATTTTATGGACAAAATTTTAAGCCACTTTAAGCTATTTATTTTTCCGATAGTCTCCAGAACAAACCATCATTATACAATAACTTGCCTAATTACCCTAACCTGCCTAGTTAACCTAATTAACCTAGTTAGGCCTAGAAATGTCACTTTAAGCTGTATAGAAGTGTCTTCAAGAATATCTAGTCTAATATTATTTACTGTCATCAAGACAAAGAGAAAATAAAATCAGTCATTAGAGATGAGTTATTAAAACTATTATGATTAGAAATGTGTTGAATATATATATATATATATATATATATATATATATATATATATATATATATATATATATATATATATATATATATATATATATATATATATATATATATATAACCAAACTAAATAAATTACAAAAATCCTACAATAACATATTATTGTTTTAACATAATAAAATATCAGTCAAAAAATGTCATAAAATACTAAACATAAATTAAACTAATTAAACAAAACAAGATGAAATAAAAAATAAAATAAAACAGAATATTTGTAAAAAAAAAAAAATCCTACAATAACATATTATTGCTAAAATAAAGTATTATTACTAAAGTAAAAAAAAAAAAATAAACAAATAAAATATTGTTATGAAAATATCCTACATATTAAAATATCAGTCCTAAAATGTAATAAAATATTGATCTTAAAATAAAGTAACAAAACAAAATTAATAATAGTAAATAAAAAAAAGAAAACATTTGTAAAAATTAAATATTATTTAAATATATTTAATAAACAATTACTTATTTTAAATGAGCTGAAACAACAAAATTCTTGAGATTTCATTGGGACAACTTAATTTTTCTTCAATTTCTTCTATGTTCAAACCACATGGATTTGTTAAAAGTGTTAAGTTAACTTAATTTGTGTTGGGACAACATAATGAATTGTTTGGAACCCTCCATTTTGACAGTGTTTGACACAGCTTTGGGTTAACAGTGGGGTAATTTGTACATATATTTAAAATATTTTTTATTTAAGCCAACTGTTAGTCAATATAAGCTGTGGGTTGGTCCCTGTTTGACCCATACAACAACCCAGCATTTTGAAAATGTTGTGAAACACGTTTTAATGATGATATGCAAAAGAATAAACCTTGATTTTTTTAAATGCTGGGTCAAACAGGGACTAACCCCTAGCCTATATTGATAAACAGTTGGGTTAAACAAAAATCATTTAAAAGTAATGTAAAAAATTAATCAAGCGTCGTGTTTGTGCATATTTGACCCAAAGCATTTAAAGTGCATATAAGGCCAGTATGAGATGAGCTATTAAACTCGACTGGTTTTCAGTTACCAGTTCTAAATGATCAATTATATAGCACATTTCCACTGTGTGACCAACACACACACACACACACACACACACACACACTGAGACGCGCTGGAGCCAGTCTGTTGGGATTATGTGGAGAGTGTAAACTCATCAATGGGCGACTTAATTAGGACTAATTGTAGAGCATGATCTGCTCGTTAGGTCTCGTTTGAAGTGCGGCTCAGACAAACACAGTGAGTTGACCCACACACACACACACACACACACACACACACACACACACACACACACACACATATGAAAGCGAGGATCAATGACGGCCGGTTTGTTTAGGGCTCCATCGGCGCCTGCGCTTGATTTAAATAATTCTCACTCCTGTTATCCTGTCGGCCTCAATGACAAACTCCTCATCTGTGCACAAATGGCCACCCTAAATACAGAGATTAATGAAGAGTATCTAGAAAAAGAAAACATTTATAAAAACATGCAGCTCTCGTGAAGCTTCACACCCGCAGAAATACAATACGGCGAGGGTGGCACTTTTTAAAGGGATAGTTCACCTGTTTACTCTGCATCAAATGATACAATAATGAAGCATTTAAATGTCATTTCAAGCTGTATAGAAGTGTCTTGAAGAATAAAAAGTTTAATATTATTTTCTGTCATCATGACAAAGATAAAATAAATCAGTTATTAAAGCTATTATGATTAGAAATGTGTTGAAGAAATCTCACAGTTGAACAGAAATTGGGGGAATAAAATAAACAGGGTGCTAATAATTCAGCTTAAAGTGATATTTAAAGGCTTAACTGGGTTAATTAGGTTAACTAGGCAGGTTAGGGTAATTAGGCAAGTCATTGTATAACAGTGGTTTGTTCTGTAGACTATGGAGTAAATATACATTAAAGGGGCTAATAATTCGACCTTATAATGATGTTTAAAATATTAAAAACTCCTTTTATTCTAGCCGAAATGAAACAAATAAGACTTTCTCCAGAAGATAAAATATTATCAGACATACTGTGAACATTTCCTTGCTCCGTTAAACATCATTTGTGAAATATTAAAGAAAGAAAAATAAATTCAAAGGGGGGCAAATAATTCTGACTGCCTGTGTGTAAATATACCATTTACATTATTATTTTTTGCTTGCTTCATAATTTTATCAGCCGTGCAATACATATTGCTGTTAAAGAATATTATTATCATTGCTGATAACTAATGAGAATCAAAAAATAAAACAAACAAAATTGGGGGGTGAACTATCACTTAAAAATGTAGACTTTAGCATCTACACTACACTGATGTACATCTTAGGTACTAATCTATGCCTCTAGGGTGCTAATATGGACTCTTTAGAAACCCTTTGTTGCACAATATTTGAAGAGGCCTGTAATAAAAGCCTTGATGTTGCATCTTGGTTTCTGGGTGTTTTCTGGGGTTTGCAGAACAAAGGCTCCAGTATGGCTTCAGGGTGTAAAGCCTGTTTGTTTGGTAAGAATTTAAATTCAGTTTCAGAGTTTATTGCTGCGATACGACATAAAATTACATGGTGCAATATATAAGAATGCTGGGCTGTTGCAACCCAACGTTGAATCAAAAATGGATTATATATATATACATACAGTGCTCAGTGTTTAAGCTCAATTCATATGTTTAATAGGAAGCTCTACAATATTATATTTGTGCATATACATTAGATTAGTCAGTCCTAAAGCCAAATCTAGAGCTTATCTAATAGAATAACTTATATAATGCTCTAAAAACTAGTGCAGCCAAATATATATGTTAAAGAAAAATATTAAATACAGAATTAAAAAAGAAGAAAAGTCAAGAAAAGCAAAATAATGGCAAAATTTAAGTGAATTTTTGCAGTATTTTGCTTGAATTTAATTGTATTATCCTTCAATTTCTAAATATGTTTGGTGACTAAATTATTATTTTAATAAATATATCTGTTTAATAAATCTGTTTTGTTTAAATGCACCAAAACACATCGCCTATATTCACTGAGAAATGGAGAATCATATTCATTTTCAAAATAGGGCTGTACTCAGTTATGCTGAGCACTGTATAATCTACTCATTTTCTTCTGAAGAGAGAGTAAGTGTTTTTAATTAAACATTTATTTCGCTATATTTAATTTTACAAAGCAGAACTGTACAAATATTGCCCACCGAGCGTGATATAAGTGTTCTGAAGGCAAGAGTCTCTTCCGAATGAGTCCTTCAGTGGTAATGCTGTCTGGGCATCATGAGTTTGAAGAGAAGGTAACAAAACAAAACCTTTTACATTACATAAGGTGACTGTATGACAAATAATAATAATAATAAATTGATATTAATAAAAGAAGAAATCGTGTTTTTCTCTACCACCAGCCTTACAACAAACTTTCACTCTAAACTGGAATAAAATGCCAATTTGAAGTAGTTTTTTTCCAGTAGTTTTAGGACAACTATTATAAAAGGTTTGACCCACTTCAAATCAGGTCAAAATCTTTTATGAAAAAAATAATAATAATTTCACAGGGTTAAGAATACAGTGACGGGCTTGAAGACACTTTAATTTAAATTTTAATTAGTTTTAATTTGAAATTATTTATTTTAGTAAAACATTAAGCAAAGACATTCATCACACTGAGGTGAAATTAAACTCCTTTAAACCAAACTACAGTCAAAATTCCAAAAAGTAAGCTGCTGCCTGCAGGTATGTTGTAGATTTTTTTTACATTTTGTATTTAATATAAAAAAAACAGAAAATTTTCAGACTTTTTAAATCCTTAATTATTTATTTTCACCCAGTTCACCCGAAAATGAAAATGTACTCACTATTTTCTTGCTTTTAAACCCTCATGAGTTTCTTTCTTCTGTTGACCACAAAATATATTTTGGAAAAAGCTGAAACCATCGACTTCCACAGTCAGAAAAACAAATGCAATAGTTCCAGATATTCAACAGTTGTCTAAATATCTACTTTACTTCTGTGTTTTACAGAAGAAATTAAATTAAACAGGTTTAAAACAAGTAAATTCTCATCACAAAAATGTCTTTTTAAAGCGGCTTTGACACAATCATTATTTAAATTATTATTACATGAATACCTAAATTAATAAACATTCCCATCTTATACGTTGTTATTTTTAACGAACTACATTATGAAATAATAACTTACTACATAAATTAAGGTAATAGTTTTATATCTGCAAAAGTTTAAGAAAAAAACTGGAATAAAATGCAAAGGAAAAACCAGAGAAACTCAGAAGATACATGTACATTTATTCAACATTTGAAGCGTGTCATAAAGTAGTTTTAGGACAACTAAGATTTGACACAATTCATATTTTATTATATTATTAATAATTAATATTTAGTAATCCCTTTTAACCCCCCAAAAAGTGCTATAGCAAGGTTGGGCAAACTCGGTCCTAGAGGGCCAGTGTCCTGCACAGCTCCAACACTAATCAAACACAGCTGAACATGCTAAGCAGTGTCTTCAAGATCACCTTATAAGCAGGTGAGTTTACCCCTGTGCTATAACATAAAATAGATTTAAATGGAGATCCAACCCAAAGTTTGATTATGACAACCCAAATCCAAAGATATAAAAGTATATATATATATTTACTAATTGCTTATATGATGTGATTGTTGCTTTTTGTAGTTTTCAATATTGCACTGCAGGTTTAAAAACCAAAACAAGGATTTTATATTTGGGTCATTCCTGGCATTCTGTCATATTTCAGCTTGAGCAAACTCATTTTTAAAAGTGTGTTGCTTATATTCATAAATAGCCTTAATAATTAGGCACAATTCAAACTTTCAAAAAAATTATATTTTCCCACCTCAGCCATTAAAGCCTTTATTTCATTTTTAGAGTTATTCTTATTTGCACACCCATTATTCTCAACCCCAGAAAATGTTTACAGTGTTAACATGGTGTTTGGTACTCAGCAAGAGTTTTTTCCTATATCTAATTGTTTTGCTTATTATTATTATTTTTTTTAAATATATGAATTTCCAGGGTTGAGAATATAGTGACGGGGTTGAAGACCGAAACAGGGTTAAGGGAACACTTACATTATAATTTGTTTTAATTCATTTGAAATTACATCTAAGACTTCACCAAAACACTTATTTATTTTAGTAAAACATTAAGCAAAGACATTAATCACACTAAGATGAAATTAAACTTCATTAAACCAAACTACATGCAAAATTAAAACAAAAAAAAACTGCTGCAGGTATGTTGTATGATTGTGATTCTTTTTAAATGACTTTTTAAATCCTTAATTATATTAGAGATATTAGAGTGTATATATATATATATATATATATATATATATAGGCCTATTTTCTATAATGGATTATATGATGTTATTGTTGCTTTTTTTGTTTTCAAGATTGCACTGCAGGTTTATAAACCAAAAAAAAAGTATTTTAAATGTTGTTAGATTTTGTATTTAATATAAAACAGAAAAATTTCAGACTTTTTAAATCCTAAATTATTTATTTTCACCCAGTTCACCCGAAAATGAAAATGTACTATTTTCTTGCTTCTTAACCTTTATGAGTTTCTTTCTTCTGTTGACCACAAAATATATTTTGGAAAAAGCTGAAACCATCGACTTCCACAGTCAGAAAAACAAAGGCAATAGTTCCAGATATTCAACAATTGTCTAAATATCTACTTTACTGTTGTGTTTTACAGAAGAAATAAAATCAAACAGGTTTAAAACAAGTGAATTCTCACCACCAAACTGTCTTTTGAAAGCGGCTTTGACATAATCATTATTTAAATTATATAATATTTTTACATAAATACTTAAATTATTAAACATTAGCATCTTATAGATTGTTAATTTTAACGAATTACGTCATGAAATATAACTATTTACTAAATAAATTTAGGTAATAGATTAATATGTGCAAATGTTTAAGAAAAAAAAACAAGATATCCTGCATAATATATCTAAAAAGCCTATATGTTTATTTCAGATCTTAAAATCTCTCGAATTCAAAGGAAATTGATAGACTAATATTTTTATTAGAGTTCAAGCACAGACAAATCACAAATGAAAGTTTGTCATAAAAACATACTTTATTTCTCATCATAAATAAACTCTTTTTTTATTAAACATTTACCTCGCTATATTTCATTTTACAAAGCAGCACTGTACAGATATTGCACACCAGCGTGATATAAGTGTTTAGAGGGCAAGAGTCTCTTCTGAATGAGTCCTTCTTCAGTAGTAATGATGTCTGGGCATCATGAGCTGATGATGTTGAGGATGAGGATGGTGAGGATGAAGAGGCATCATCATCTGCTGCACCAGCGGCCCGTGTGGCGGGAACGGGAGCCGCTGTCTGTCGTAGCATTGATACTGAACGGGAATGACCGGCGGAAGTACCATCTGAGGCAGCAGAAAATCCGCGCGCATTTCCTGCACTTCCCGCTTCAGCTTCATCCTTCGGTTCTGGAACCAAGTTCTGATCTGGAGAACAAAAAATGAACACAAACACACGTTTAAAGTATATTCAGTTGTCAAAAAAAATTATTATAAAATCGTATGTTGTTAAATTAAGAGTTGGCGCGCTTTGTAACAGCAACTTCCGCTTTCAGCTTTTCCCAACCGACGGTTGACTGATATTAAAAACTGAAGTTAGTTATCATATTTGGCTATTTATTACTGTAATTATGAACATACTGGTTTGATTCCTAGTGTTAATCGTTCACTTTGCATGGTAAAGTGCAAAGTTACAGAATATTTGTGACATTACAATAATTTAGATTTATACAGCAGCAGATACTTAAAATAGCTACCATCAACAATTAATATTTGTACATTACTGCGCACTGTAAACAATATATGATCAATTAGTCATGACAATATTTGTTTATAGGACATTATTAAAATAAGTTAATGATGTTCTTACTTAAATTCATAAGTTAGACAAGCCGTTTAAAGTCAGGTTAATAAAATATAAGCTCAATGGACTCATACGGTCAATCTTTAAAATTTAATCTTAACAATTTACCCAGGAGTTTTTTACAGTGAGGGTTGAGGTAAAAGTTAATAAATACATAGGTAATTTAATAAGTATTAAGAAAAATACTCGGTATATAACTGATTTATATTACTGTGATGATTAGGTTTAGGGTTGGGGTAGACATCATAATAAAATACAACTAATTGATCATTAATAAATAACACTAACGATTCTCTTTAACTTCCAGCCGCAGCTGTATCCCTTCTAGCAACAACCTGCAAGCCAAATAAAGGCGAATCTCACCTGTGTTTCCGACAGGCCGAGCTTCAGCGCAGTTTTCACTCTCTCTCCCGCATCCAGGTATTTGTGTTTGTTAAAGATTTTCTCCAGTTTGTCGATCTGTTCCGGGGTGAATTTGGTTCTGATTCTGCGCGTCGCTCCGTCTTTCTCAGCGTCGTGTCCATCTTCGACAGAAGCGCATTCAGAAGCGGCCGCTTCACTCTCATAACCCGACGAATAACCGCTGTTTTCTGAAACTGAACATGTCAAATGTTAAATTATGAACATTAAGTTTTCCTATTAAGAAAGCATTGCACAGATTCACAACAAAATACTGGGTTGTAACGATGGAATGGTTCATCTAAATTGAAAATGCCCTCATAATTTATTCTTGAGTTGAGCACAAAAATAAATATTTTAAAGAATGATGACATTTACCAACTTTCAAAGTAAAACAACAATAGCCTACTATTGAAGTAAATTGGGACCGACCAGAATATTTCAGAAAATCATACATTTTTTTTGTGAGAAAAATAACATAGAGGATAAACAAACAGGTTTGGAACAAGTTAAGAATTTTCATCCCTTCTTCCAAAAATGGACAAAGTCAATCCAATGTTGGGTTGACTATTTTACATTAAATTTAAATGACATGCTAAACCAATAGTCTTGTCCATATTTTACTTGTTGGTTGGTTTTAGGTTTTCAGAGAGGATGAAGTTGAAGAAAATATACTTACAGCTTGGAGATGAGCAGTTTCTTGGCGTAACCGGAGCTGGAGTCTCTTTGCTGCTCTCCGTCTTCAGCTCAGCTTTGTTAATTTTGGGTTTTGGTTGTAAATAAACCTTGTCGTATGATGTCGGAGGTCTCGGCTGGACCACACACGGAACATGCGGCCTTGTCTTTTTCTCCGGCTCCTGGACATCCAGAACCGGCGGGTCATGAAAGCTCTGAGCAAGCCAGTCCACGGAAAAGTTCTTCACCATGATTTCACTCTATTTTTTCTCTCTCAAATTTGAGGAAGTGAATCTATCCGAGTACAATCCGAGAGTGTTCTCCAGGTCTCCAAAAGCGGCCTGATTATATAGTCCGGGCCGGCGGCGCATTAACATATGCATGGAGGAGTTAACGCCTGATCGATTCTCAATCATTAGGCCTAATGGGTCGTTATTGAAGTCTTTACATATCCTGTGATCGTGTGAAAGCCTGGCGCCAGCTTGTCTGTGAGAACCTCTGGCTCATCCAGCTGTCTGCATCCTCTTCAAACAGAGAGTCTCGGAACAACTGGATGCCGAGTGGCGCATTCATGTAAAAAAAATCACGCGTTAATAAGAGATGTTAAAAGTTTTAAGGGATGAAAATGAAAAAGGACAAGGCTAAATGATTGGTAAAACTTTTTAGAATTTTTGCTCCAATTTTTTAGCATATTCCTTATTATTAAGTCCTTGTATTTTCTTTATTTCACATCTTGACTCATATTTACAACGCAAAACAAAACCTTTTAAAACCGTTTTGGAAGTCAGTTTTTACAACAAAGATTAATTTATGAAATTTAGATGAAAATATGACATATTTGTATATTTTATCATGTCTTTTTATACGTAATTCGAATTCACATACTTTTAAAATTATTTATTGTAAAGCGACATTAAATCAACAGAAAAGCTCTGTATAAAATACATGCATTATTATTATTATTTTAGTTATTTATTGTTTAATCTGTGTGTTTTTGCTTTGTGAAATTCGTTATTACATTATCGAATTTGCTTTTACTGTGGATCATTATTGAATTATAACATTGAATTAAATGCAGTATTCCTTGCAGCAAGATACCAAGCTGAAACTTCAAATATTGATACGAAAAATGTCATGTCAAAACCATGTTTCATCAAGATATCTACTACTAGATATTTAAAAGTATGTTTTAAATACTTGTTAAGGCTCAATCTGTTTATAGTACAGTCATCAGAAGTAGATTTAAAAACATTTGTTGTTGATAACTATACTTAAAATCACGAAGCAACAACAGTTTTGGATGAAAATCCGACATATTTTGTACGTTATCGTGTCTTTTATACTCATTTAATACGATATCGTATACTTTTTAAATTAATTACACACTATAAAGCAATATATTAAAATACTGAAGCGAAAGAAGTAACATGAGAGGGAAAAAACAAATGCATAAAAACAGTCAATGCATCCTCGTGATTAAGTTCTCAATGCTTTGAATCGCTCTGCAGTTTCTGATCTGTATCTGTGTTTCAGTATACTGTCTCCAGTCAAACAAAGGTGATAATATGAGCAGTTCAAATGGTGCTGTATTAACACATGCTGGCGGCCTGTTGAGCCTCTGGCGCCACCGTCCATCACTGCGGCGTTTGCTACAGTCGGCAAACATCGCGGATCAAAGGGATTACAGTAGCAACACAATTAACTTTGATTGAGCTGCAGTTCAGATGCTAATTCACACCCGGACGAGCTTATAGGCCTGATCCACGGACTTAAGCCCAAACCATTTGCAGGCATCGAGCTATTTATTTGATAATGGTCTCTGATTAAATGTTCTCAAATGATTTGCTTATGTTGAAGTAGGCTAATCTAAAGTTTATCTTCTACGTTCACTCGCTTTAATACTCGTGTTTATGTAGCTTATACATTCATGGGGGTTATTTAAACAAATTTTAAATAAATGGACAGAGTTGGTTTAGTTTTCTAAATAGATTTACCCTGGGTTAAAACAACCCAGCATTTTAATTTTATTTTGCAGAGAAAGTTTATTTGACCAAGTTGATTTAGTCACGTGATTACTGTCTTATTTTAGCTGCACTGTAAACAATCCTGGTTGTCTTAAAATTATAGGCTGAATCAAATTATTCTTATGAGTTCATTGAACTTATATGATGTTAATTTGTTAAACAGCTCGAGTGACTTATTAAATTAAGCCCTAAAAAGCTATAAGCTTTTAGGCTTTGACCTAAAGTCAGGACTAATTGATCATGTTCTCTCTTTTTACAGTGAGGCACTTTATCATAAAGGATGACATTTGTTTTTGTTTTTGTTTGTTGATACACAACTCATTTTATTAAACAAAATCTTTTTGATTGTTTTGCACACTCAAAAATAAAATGATAAAAACGTTGGGTTGTTATAATCCAGCATTGGCTCAAATATGGACGGACAACATGTTGGGTTAACAAGTTTAATTTTAAGTTTGAAAATTGACCACAAAATTGAATGAAAAAACACATTTATTCTAAAATAAAAACGCTGGGTTGTTTTAACTCAACGTCGTGTCAAATATGCGCAAAACGTTGGCTTAGAACAACCCAACAGTACAGAACGAAAGTTTATTTTTACCAAGTATGGGTCAAAGTTTGGGTCCAATGTGAACAAACTCAACCTGTGGGTTAAAATTACTCGACATTGAGTCAATGGCATAACATGTTGGGTCAAAAGTTCAAATTAAAGAAAAAAATAGATAAAAAAAAATCATTCTAGAAGTGTGATTTAAATGTAATTGAAAAATAACACAATGATTAGTTTTACATTTTTGACCCAGCATTGGGTCAAACAATAAATATAACAACATTTTTTTTAGAACAAAAGTTATTTTAACCAAGTATGAGTGTAAGTTTTAATATTGAAGTTTTACCACTGTTTAACTCAAAAGTCGTGTAAAAAATGGGTGGATTGTTGGGTTAAACAACCTATTAATATAGAAGTTTATTTTTACCAAGTATGGGTATTAGTTTGCGTCAAATATGAACAAACTCAACCGGTGGATTAATAAATGGAGTTTATGCTAACTTTAATTGAAAAAAAAAACAAAGAGTCAAAGACACAATATGTTGGGTCAAAAAGTTTAATTTAAATTTAATAGAAAAATAACACAATGATTAGTTTTTAATTTTTGACCCACCATAGGGGGTAAACAAAAGATAGAACAAGATAGAAACAATATATATATATATATATATATATATATATATATATATATATATATATATATATATATATATATATATATATATATATATATATATATATTAGAAAAGTTTATTTTAAACAAGAGTCCAAGCTTAGTCACTTTAATATTGTAGTTTTACCACTTTTTAACTTAGGTCGTGTCAAATATGGGTAAACTGTTGGGTTAAAACAACCCATCAATACAAAACGAAAGATTTTAACCAAGTATGAGTGTAAGTTTAGTCACTTCAACACTATAGTCTTTATTTAGACATTATTTTAAACTTTTTTTTATTTTATTTTATTTTTATTTTTTTTACAAAGGATATAATGATTATGTAATACAACACACCTGGTTTTATTAAAATAAACATTTTTGCACTCAATTATTTGTACTTATCCTGGGTTGTTGTAACCTAACATTGGGTCAAATATGGACAAACTCAGCTGGCGGGCTAAAAAGTGTAATTTAGGCTAAATTTAATTGAAGAAATAAATAGAATAACCCGACGTCGAGTCAAACATGGACAGACACAACATGCTGGGTTAAAAGTTTAATTGAATTGAACAGAAAATTAACCTTTCAAAAATACACGTTCATTCAAAAAAATTGCTGGATGTTTTCACTCAAAGCCGTGTTAAATATGGGCAAACCACTGGGTTAAAACAACCCATCATTTAATTAACGAAAGTTTATGTATGGGTCTGAGTTTAGTCACTTTAATACTAGTCTTTATTTTAACTAACTCTATTTTAATTCTAACTAACTTTACTTTAACTAACTTTTCCTCTAAATGGTTCATCAAGGGTTGCTGTAACCCAATGTTGGTGTAATTTACAAGTGCAAATTTAATTGAAGAAATAAATAGAATAACCCGACGTTGAGTCAATTATGGACAGACACAGCCTGTTGGGTCAAAAAGTGTCATTTAATTGTAATAGAAAAACAACACAATTAGATTTATCCATTTTTGACCCAACATTGGGTTAAACAACAACAGAACAGATTATTTTAAAACGAAAGTTCGTTTAAACCATGAGTGTTTAGTCACTTTAATATCAGTTTAACTTATCTTTTGTTTTGTAAAGGCTGGTTAACACAATCTTACTGTACGTTTTTGTATTACTTAACACATTTAAGCTAAATAAATAAATAAATATATATATATATATATATATATATATATATATATATATATATATATATATATATATATATATATATATATAATAACCCAACATTAAGCCAAATGCAGTCAAACCCATCTGTTGGGTTAAAAGGTGTACTTTAAATTTATTTAGAAATTGTTGGCTTTAAAAAAAACATTAAAAAAAATAAAAAAGTCTCATTTAAATTTAATGGAATGAATGCAAATAAAAGTATAACCCAACGTTGGGTTATTTTCATTCATCAGCGTTTTAGTGCTCATATAAGCCTTTTTCACTTCAAGGGAAGAAGCGTCATATCAGAAGAAGCCGAGAGGTCTCTTGTGGAAGTAATAATGACGACCCGCGCTACAAGTCTCCTGGTTTGATTGTATGCTGATGTGAGTTTTGGTGATGAAACAGAGGCTGTGATTGAATAAGTCTGCTGATAAATGAGAAGTGAAGCTCTTATCTGCATGTCTGTGAATGAGAGACGCGCCTTTGAAAGGATCGTTTAGCTGGACAATGCTGATAAAGCCATGTTGACTGTTTCCTTTATCACTGATCTATACAGCACAGACTCGAGTCTTTCAGGCGCAATTACAGCCTTTATCAGAGCGCTTTGATCCGGGGCTGAACAATGACGAGGACCCGCAGCGCGCCGCTGAGCCTCCGGGGGCGCGCGTTTCCTCGTCCCCGCATGAAACCGACAAACGCGCTTTAAGTCACTGGGTTACAATAACTTATCCAACACTCTGAAAACACACACTCATCTCCCCGATTAACTAGAGCTGCTCGTGTAAGTCCATATATTTACCTGTTTAGCACATGTAAAAAATAACCGAGTCAGTTAATATAGTGTTTTCTGCACTGAGATGAGAAGTTTTCCTTGTATTCAACACAACTACAGCAGATTGATATAA